GATTTACGTGATTATTGCGGTTGCGTGGAACATATATCGAGACATTTTGTGTCATATTTTTATAATAAATATATATTTTTATATACTACTACTATATATATTGATTATAAAAATATGACACAAAATGTCTCGATATATGTTCCACGCAACCGCAATAATCACGTAAATCACGTATATATATTTTTATATACTACTACTATATATATTGATTATAAAAATATGACACAAAATGTCTCGATATATGTTCCACGCAACCGCAATAATCACGTAAATCACGTATATATATTTTTATATACTACTACTATATATATTGATTATAAAAATATGACACAAAATGTCTCGATATATGTTCCACGCAACCGCAATAATCACGTAAATCACGTATATATATTTTTATATACTACTACTATATATATTGATTATAAAAATATGACACAAAATGTCTCGATATATGTTCCACGCAACCGCAATAATCACGTAAATCACGTATATATATTTTTATATACTACTACTATATATATTGATTATAAAAATATGACACAAAATGTCTCGATATATGTTCCACGCAACCGCAATAATCACGTAAATCACGTATATATATTTTTATATACTACTACTATATATATTTATTATAAAAATATGACACAAAATGTCTCGATATATGTTCCACGCAACCGCAATAATCGCGTAAATCCAGCAAATGAATTCATCACGAAAGAAACATCATTTTGACGGATTCAAAATTCCCAATCAGCGATCGATGAATCAATCCAGTGATTAACTAGTCGGGAAGTTCAATTCTTTCCAGAGATCGTAAAGCACTCCCAAGAGTCGGCCTGCCGATTTTTCTTCGTTCGAACGAGTCCGGCGGATCCCTCGTTCCCCGTGAAGGAGGAGAGGGGGGGGGGGGGAGAAGGAGACTGATTTATACTAATTGAAAAATGAGCGTAACTCACCGCCGTGATAAGAGCTGCCCCGATGGGGGGCGTAGGCGGGGTTCCGGGGCTCGCGGCAGTGGCTCGGCGTGTAGTACTGCATAGGGTGGGGCACGTAATTGCTCGGGGTGCTCGGCACGTGTACCGGGTGGCAGTGCATGCATCTTCGCGGTGTCTCCGGCACGCCCTGAGGAAAAAAAAACAGAGTCCTGCAGTCCTCCCACGTAGCGAGATATGAAACTTGAAAGAAGTAATTACATCTCGCCCCCTCTCCTGGGAATCTCACTGTCTTAGCTCGCCTTAGAAGCGTACTTTGGACTTTGGCATTTTTCTGTTCTGAAACCGCGAAAGCTTTCGTCGGCTGAGCTACGTGGACTTTTCTGTTCACGTTTCAGCTGCGACCACGAATTTTCGCGGCCGGAAAAAATAATAATTTCGGCTTTTACAAACGACTGAACGAGCGACGAACGAAAGGTCTGTTCTGCTTTTTTATGGACTTTTATGGTGTAGACGATTTAAATGGCTTTTGATTTAATTGAACTTTGATTCAGACGTAAATCGATAAATAATCGGCGAAAGAAATATTTTTGTGGCTTGACAGAGATTTTCTTCAAATATTGTTCAAACGTGAGAACGATTTTATCAATAATTCAACAAATAAGTGTTTTCACTGAATTACAGTCGCGACAGGTGGGCCGAAGTTACTCGCACAATTTGAAGAGAATTGTTCGAGTGAATCGTGAAATAAAAATCGCAACTGATCCCGAGAGTGTAGTCGCACGTGGCCAGGAGAACTAAAAAGCTATATTAAACGGTATAACCAAGGTCCTAAAATTTACAGCACGTTTTGAACAATGTTTTATCCTCATTGTCAGCGATCGCGTGCTCCGTAATACTTTTTAGTGAGGAAATATTGTTGTATGTACCCGGCGTAAGAAACAGGATCCAAGAATGTTTTAATAAAAAGGGAATGAAAGTTTACGGCGACAGTGTAATAGTTCTGCCGTGGGAACGGGAGACCATTTGGAGACTGAAGGGTCTGCAGCGTGCCTTCATAGCCCTTAACACTTTGTGACCTCGCGTCATTCACGTACGAGAGACGCGATCCTCGGCCTCGGGCCTCTGGAATAACCTCGAAATCCGAAGAGGCTAATAAACAACCGCTGTAATGAATATTTGCTTAAAAATATGCATTCGACGATTTCGCGAAATTTGTTACACCGGCTCGGTTGAACATCGCGCTCGAGATTAATTCAGAGACACGTTCGTAAAATTAACGTGAAATGTTAAATCCTCTAAAAATGATTATCTTCCGAGTAAATTTGAAATTCAAATCCACCATGTCCCGTTATGATTCATTTCCATTTTGTAATATTTTCAGGGGGTGAAAATTTCGGATCGATTATTGAGAAAGAGACTGTAATCTATTTTGTAAATTTTAAATAAATCCGAAGCCATTATCGTCTCTTCAGTATCGTTTTGGAAAGGGTGAAAATTGGAAATCGATTATCGAAAACAGGACAGTATAATTTGCTATATAAATTTTAACTGAATCTTTCGAAATAATTTTTGTAAAGGATGTGAAAATTGAAGATCAATTATTGGGAACCGGACAAGTAATCAACTTTATAAATTTTAAATAAATCTAAAGCCAGCAACGTCACTTTGATAGCTCTATTAATATTGTTAAAGAAGCGTAAACTTGTTTGCATTAAATTTCTACGCACAGTGGAGTCTGTACACATAAAATCGCTTTAAAAAATGGGGGAGAATGATCGAGAACATTTAAACGCACGGTGTGCGAAGCTAAATCGTAGTCTGACACACTTTGGAAATTAAACGCCGTTCAATTTACCGACGGGGTGAAAGTGCTGTGAATGGAATACCGATTAGGGGAAATACTGGGTGTAATTCTCGCGGGCCTGATTAACGATTGCCCTCCACTCAGGTGAATAGAAACCTGTGGACGAACATCGATTTCATGATCTAGAATTGAATCTCGGTAACATTGATTTCTTGTTCGTTCAATCCGGCCAATGAATCACTCGCTGTCTCTTGATAAATATTCAGACGAATAATAGCTTGCAAAATTCAACCCAGATAATTAATTGTTACTCTCTGTCTCTTGATAATTATTCAGACATATAATAACTTGCAAAATTCAAGTTACAGAAAAATTCAACCTCGATAATTAATTGTTACTCTCTGTCTCTTGATAAATATTCAGACAAATAATAGCTTGCAAAATTCGAGTTACAGAAAAATTCAACCTCGATAATTAATTGTTACTCTCTGTCTCTTGATAAATATTCAGACAAATAATAGCTTGCAAAATTCGAGTTACAGAAAAATTCAACCTCGATAATTAATTGTTACTCACTGTCTCTTGATAATTATTCAGATATATAATAACTTGCAAAATTCGAGTTACAGAAAAATTCAACCTCGATAATTAATTGTTACTCACTGTCTCTTGATAATTATTCAGATATATAATAACTTGCAAAATTCGAGTTACAGAAAAATTCAACCTCGATAATTAATTGTTACTCTCTGTCTCCTGAGATAAATATTCAGACAAATAATAGCTTGCAAAATTCAACCTCGATAATTAATTGTTACTCACTGTCTCTTGATAATTATTCAGATATATAATAACTTGCAAAATTTTCGAGTTACGGAAAAATTCAACTTCGATAATTAATTGTTACTCTCTGTCTCTTGATAAATATTCAGGCAAATAATAGCTTGCAAAATTCAACACAGATAATTAATTGTTACTCACTGTCTCTTGATAATTATTCAGACATATAATAACTTGCAAAATTCGAGTTACAGAAAAATTCAACTTCGATAATTAATTGTTACTCTCTGTCTCTTGATAAATATATAGACATATAATAACTTGCAAAATTCGAGTTACAGAAAAATTCAACCTCGATAATTAATTGTTACTCTCTGTCTGTTGATAAATATTCAAACAAATAATAACTTACAAAATTCGAGGTACAGAAAAATTCGATCCAGATAATTAATTGTTACTCGCTGTCTCTTGATAAATATGCAGACAAATAATAACTTACAAAATTCGAGGTACAGAAAAATTCGATCCAGATAATTAATTGTTACTCGCTGTCTCTTGATAAATATGCAGACAAATAATAACTTACAAAATTCGAGGTACAGAAAAATTCGATCCAGATAATTAATTGTTACTCGCTGTCTCTTGATAAATATGCAGACAAATAATAACTTACAAAATTCGAGGTACAGAAAAATTCGATCCAGATAATTAATTGTTACTCACTGGCTGTTGATAAATATTCAGGCAAGTGATAACTTAACAATTTCGAATTATAGAAAAATTCGATCGACAATATTATATCTGCCATCCAATAGAATTATACTGTGCAGCTGCGAATAGAACGTGCTTCGAATAGCGATTGAATTGCTTCAATGAATATATTAATCTCCCTGTATGAGAAATGAAAAATTAATGGAGATGATATTATGTACGTCATCGCACTTTGTACCAATTAACGAACAGCAAGGCATTTAGAAGTTTTTGCTGCTTTCCAAGCATTCCGAAGTTACAACCAATGAAATACAAAATTCTGTGGAATTTAATATTGCTGATTTGTTCGACGTAGAGTATGTACTACGGGAAACGATGTTTCATTTAGTTCCCGATTCTCTGTATTTATGAAGACGCGTGAAAACAGTCGAGGTCCGCCAATAATTATTACGTGCAATTACCGACATGAATTTCAACGTGACTGAAGGGAAAACAATGAAAAGTAAATATTGATATTACTTATTACGTTATGCATAAGTAAATTGTTCGCCAATGGAGTGTATTAAGCTAATGTGAGCTACCTTGCGTGTTGTTTTATAAACAGAACAGATTTTTACTTCGACAGAACAATTTCCTGCATTAATTGCGAGAAACGATGGCCAAATAGAAATTTCTTTCTTCGATAATTTCGATAATACGATGAAGATAGAGTCGATATTCTCAAATAAATACCTCCTATTATTTTTTTGAAATAAGTGCATAAAATCTACAGTTTGATTATTATTATTTTATTGATATTATTATAAATAGCGAAATATAAGTTTAGAACGGCTCGAACTTTCTATTTTCTGTTTTAGAATGTTCCAAGCGATGTTGCAAGCGATTAACATTTGAATCGATTAGGATGACGAACAGCTCCCCAAGCTCTAAGATTTTGTCAACGCACCGCACGTTGCGTTCCGCCGTGCTGTTCGGAAATGCAGCACGTGTACAATGGCGGTTCAACCATGTTCGAATTGCCGTACGCGGCACCCGGTACGAGAGCTGATTCTATGGGCTCGTAATCAACCATCCTGGAAAATTAGTGTCTCCATCGGCCATTTTGTGCGACGTTCATTATCCGGCACAATGCATATCTCGTGCCGTTAATATGACGTCGAGCAACACATTCGCATCCGCAATCTTTCAAAATAAAACTATTACAACACTTACCGTTATCACCATAACACACATAGTTAATAAAATTTCTCTTGTACACGTATAGTTGATGCAGATTCCTTATATGTATATATACATAGACATATACAACTTCACATGTAGGCTATATCATACATAAAGAATACAAAGTGTATAAAAATAATAAAGTAAAACGATATTCAAAATCTCAGATACTCTCAAAAATGAGAATCGAATATTCCAAACTGTAGTTAATAAATAAACTTGAATTCAGCTAAACGATGACTTAAACCCATCCTAATTTCGCACATACTAAATCATACTAAAATTTGAACAAAATTGATCGACAGAATGTTCCGAAACGTGAGACACTAATCAATCTATCGTTGTCAAATAAGAATTAAATGAATCAATCTGTGCTAAAGAAACAAACTTGAATCCAAGAAAACGATGACTTAAACCCACCCTAATATCACACATACTTCATCATACTAAAATTTGAAGACAATCGATTCACAGAATGTGCCAAAACCCAACAGAAAACTAAAAATTAATTAAAAATCCAGCAAATTAAAAATCAAAAGATCCCGGCGTTAGTTCCTGAAAATGGCACATTGCCTCGGGCAATTAAAAGCAACGATAATACGAAACGAAAGAGAATCCTGAAGCAATTAAGATTGCTGGAGATCGATGCAGGTCCACGAAAATAAAAACTGCGTGTTCGTCTCCGAAGTCGCAGCGGATTAGGGGTAGGATAGGACGACGTTTCCCGCTGCTAATAGCCTTTCGCGTTCCCCGGAAGGCCGCGGAGGGGTAGAGGGTGGACGAAAGTGGGTTTTCCCGGGCGAAATGAGACGAGCCAACGGTTTTTATTACCTGCATAGAATGCTGGGATCGCAGCGATCTTATCGAGCCCGCCGGGTGCAGGGAGGGCACGCTGCCCCCGAAGCTCATCGCGGAATTTCTGCATCCGCCGGGGGTGGACCAACCCCCGCGGACACTGGCCGAGGTCCACCCCATGCCGCTGCCGCGATCGTCGATCAGCATTTTCACGGCAGACCGTGCATTTCACTCTGATCACTTCGAATCGCTTCGATTCCTGTTCTTCAACGACCGGCCACCTACGCACCCGCAATTATCAACGGCCCGGCTCTATCGGTCCCGATCGCTGATCGGTGATCGCTCGCCGGTCCTCCGTTTAACCCGGCGATCTCGCGCACTCGATCGATGGATCGCGGCTCGGCAGAGGCATCCTGCGATCGGCGATTCCCACCTGGAAAGAGAAAATGCAAGAGTTGAGAGAAGATCGATAGCAATTTTTTTAATTTATACAGCTTTTCTATTATATTTTTTATTTATAATTTCTACGATTATATACTTCACATATGATTTTTATGATTTATATTATATTTTCTACTATTTTCGCAACGAGTATTCAAATCGTTTATCGACTTTTAAGAGTCGAGTATTAGTTAGTCTGCGGATTTTTATGCTAAATAAAAATTGGCTGCATCAACTGCAAGAAATAAAAACTATATATAGTAAATTTATTCATTCTTTAATCACTTTAGTGGATCGAAAACAATACATTGATAGTTTTATATTATTTTAATCTTCCTGCTAGTTTTAATTGCAAATATTCAAGTTTACCATAAACATATAAAATCCGCAATCATACATTGTTGTTCGTTACACTTGAGAAAATGTTTTTAATGCATGACAGTTTTGTTTATTATTTCTTCTTCCTTTTTGGATATATCGATTGATGCAGATCATTTTTATTTCGCATAAATATCCACAATCTACTCATAGTTATTGTTCTATTAAGCTTTTTATTGAATCAAGTCGTAAGTCAACACCGAAAGAGTATAAACCACCACAAACAACTTCAATGGTTAAATGAAATAGCAATTATAAAACCTGATAACAATTCAGAATATAAATCAGATAAATGATCTTATTTATTAAATAATCTTTAATAAAGATTGTTAAAAAAATCTGCAGAAGAAACGAAATCATTTTCCACAGACCCCTTCAAGTACGAATGAAATTCAATTATCTGAGGTACGTCGCCACCAAAATTGCTCCTTGAAACTTCTAAACCGAACGTATTAATCCACTTTGTTAAACGCACCTAATCCTTAAAACGTCGCAAAATCAAAACGATCCTCGGCAAAGTGAAATCGCCGATACGGAAAAGAGCACGACCGCTCGTTTAATATCTAAGACACTTTTAATTGCTGGCATAAGACTTTTTAGCCGACGAGTTTTTCTCTCGAATAATTCGCGTCACGTTCAACCTAATCCCTTCGCTTCCGTAGAAAAAGAAGCGAAGCCGGCGAAAAGCGGTCGATCCGACAAGTTTCCCGCGCACTTCATGGATATCTTGCGTGGCCCACCGATTCCATCTGTATGCAGCCCGGCCGCAAGCGAAACATCCCACGGTGGATGCACAGCATGATCGATCTGTGACGCTGCTAATTGGAGGACAACGCGTCCCGACGCGGATGTTACAAGAAATAAACAGAGATGTAAATCAGGCGAGCTGTCGGCGCGCCGGACTGCGAAACCCGACCAAGATTTCCGGTCAACGAGGCGCAATTATTCAAATCCGCGCGCGTAGAATCCATTATTGATGCTCGTCGAACGCGGACAAATCGAATCCCGCACGGATTTACGGCGTCCACGAATTTCATTGTAATGTTACGGCTGTCCGGCGACCGAACGTCATTTTTGGATTTTCAATGGGGATTTTGATTTCGATCGATTCGGACTCTCGATGATTAAATCGAACCCTCATGGATCGGCGATGGTTTGTGCGATTACTTGCGATCGAATCGCACGTGATTAAGATTTTTAGTGCCAATATTCTGTCCAAGTGTGACTCTCGTTACAATTGAATTGGTTTAGGTTTTGTTTCATTACGATTTTCAGTGTTTAAACGACGTCTGTGAAGATCGTCGATAATTTTTAGTATTTCTTGTGATTGAATCGCATTTATTATGGTTTAATGAAGAAATTGAACGTCCAAATTCTTCTTCCATTGAGCTACAATTGTTTACGTGTTGTCTCTTGTCGCGATTGAATTGGTTTCGTTATTGTTTCATTATGATTTTCAGTGTTTAAACGACGTCTGTGAAGATCGTCGATAATTTTTAGTATTTCTTGTGATTGAATCGCATTTATTATGGTTTAATGAAGAAATTGAACGTCCAAATTCTTCTTCCATTGAGCTACAATTGTTCACGTGTTGTCTCTTGTCGCGATTGAATTGGGTGAGTTATTGTTTCATTACGATTTTCAGTGTTTAAATCACGTCTGCATGCATCGACGATAGTGTGTGCGATTTCTTGTGATTGAATGGCTTTCATTATGGCCTGACTAAGATTTCCCGAGCTTAAATTGCAACTACGTGGATGTATGGTTCCAAGAGAACCGGTTCCGTGGATTTCTAGATGGTACAATTTACTTCAGGGGATCGCAAACTCGTACACGTCGCATTACCATGAACTTCTAACGCGTGAATTTCATTTCTGTAGATCCCGAACCGACGGAGTTCATCTCCATAGATCTCCGTCCCGTGAAATCCATTTGGGGATGCATTACTGCACGGAGATATTTCAACGCTTACGGGATTCATCGGTTGAAGAAAAAATACGGAGAGAAGTTACCGTGGTCTAAAATACCACGCCTTCTTCTCGTAATTATTTGTAAATCGTAGATTTGTCTCTGCAATCTTCCAGTCGATCGACAGAATTTCTACGTTATTTTCGCAGCTCGAAGTCCAAGATCCGGGGTTTAAGATGCTTGTTAGCGGCGGTGTATGTGTCTTGCACACAAAGTGAAATGTTTATGGTCTCACCGAATTGGTTCTACAAGCGAAAACAAGCCGCAATCGTAGAACAGAATTTACTTTCTCGAGGTTTCGATGCCGCAAAAAGCATATTCGGAAATTTCGCGAATGCACTTGGCCGACTCCCAAGGTGGTGTAATCAACAGGAGGTTATCCTAGACGCGGAAAAGCGTAGAATAAAGTGTCTACGTTCGAAACCCCGATTTGGAGAAAATCCAACTGGAAATTCCATCGGGACTACTCGTAATAAGCTACGTTCGAACAACGCGTGATCGAATCGAACATTTCTCGAAATCGAAACCTCAGAAATGACTCCATTCCACACTTTCTAGATATTCTCGCGTGCTAAATAATTCCCCACCGATTGCACAATTCGCACTCAATGAAAGCTTAATTAAGCACACATGTCCATTTAATTAATTTTGCACCGATATATAGATAAAGCAACGCGAGTAGTTGCAGTAATCAACGGAGGATTATTAATACCTGAACGGCGGACCTTTATCACGAACATTTAACTGAATATGCTTAGAATCGTTTACACGTTTATTTATCATTTTTTCTCGCCACATTTTTTAAAGTATACATACTTTAAAGACCTTCATAAAACGTGGGAAAATTTCAATGAACTGTCAGAAATTTGATAGTCAAATAACAATATTTATACTCTGGATCCAAATAGTCCCGAATACAGATCAAAATTCTAGAACAGAGTTATCCGAGTCACGGTGTACGAAAAAAATTTCATTTGAATATTTATCGGGTGCACCTGATAAATATTCAAACTTAATTTTTTCGGAAACGAAGTGTCAGATGAAACAACGTTGTTCGCTGTCTATTTCCACGGACGAGGTAACATCCGATCGATTAGTTCACGGTATTATTCGATTGAAAGTTATGCGAGTGCATCCGCACACCATAAATATTCAAACTTTGTTTTTCCAAGAACAATGTGTCGGATGAGGAAATTTTACTTTGCATTTATTCGTCAGTTTCGCATGCAGAATAACCTACCGTTGATTACATTACTTTATTATTCAATTCGAAATTTTTCAAGCGCGTAAGCACTCGATAAAAATTGAGATAACGTTTTCTAGGAACCGCGGCGTCGAATGACAAAACAATCTGCTGTTGATCGTATCAATTGATGATTTGGTTATTCGATAGAACACGCGCACTCGATAAAATTTCAAATCCAAGTGAGCATTATAAAATTTAGAAAATTTGTTTGCATTGTAAAAATGAAGAAGCCATTTTTAATGGAGAAATACATTTCATAAATGTGGTTCGTAGTAATATCTTTCCTTCAAGAAACGTTTATTAAATAATATAAAAGTTTAGAAAACCTTTTTATTTTGTGAAAATGAAAAATCTATTTTCAATGGAGAAATATATTTCTCATGGTGTCGAAACAAAAATTTGTATTCTACAATCTGCACGTTTTTTTTGCATACGGAACGACTTCCAGCGATTACAGTAATGTCTCTCTAATTGACGCTTAGCTTGGAAAGAAAAATGGACAACTTGGGAAAAAGAGGTACGATTATTCGAGTTTTACACCTAATTTTTATAATTGTTGATGATATACCACTATAAAAACGAGCCGCAAGACTCGATCAATCGTATCTCCTTTTCCCAAATTGTCCACTTTTGTGTACAATTTGAGCGTCAATTAGGGAGACATTGCTGTACTTCTAATTCTTCTAATTCTTTTAATTTCCCTAATTTTCTGTTTCTAATTTTTCGATCATGAACTATATAAGCCGTTTATTTTGAAAGTAGCATAAGTCACTTTACCGTAATGAAAAGTGGTGATTTCTTAATGTTTATACGAAATTATTTATACTGAGAAAAAAATATCAGTATCCTGAGATAACAAATACAAGTAAATCTTCTCGAAAGTTAGCATCCATATTTTTAAACGTGTTAAAACGCAAACCCTTAAATATATCGACTTAAAAACAAAGTGACTCATGCCACTTTCAAAATAAACGGCTCATACAGTGCACTCAAGAAAAGCCGGATCCCCTGTAAAAGCCAAGGTCCCAAACAGAGAAATTGTATTCTACACCGTCAACTCGATTTCGCGTGTTCTCCAAACGATATTAATCTCTGTCGAAAGCGGAATTGCTATATGGGCGAATCGCAGCGCAGTTTCGAACCGTTAACCGAACTATCATGTACGATTTCCCGAGACAGATAATCTTTATTTCAGAGAATCTATGGTTTCCGGGGTTAGAGCCGATGACCGGTCTGTTCGTAAACTCGATACGGTTACACGGTCGCGACTCGTACACCGAAGTTCCGCAATAAGAAGACGGAGGCTGGAAACAAACGGCGGATTTGTATTCGCCGGCGGCGTTCCGCCTATATATTTCAACTGTGCCGGCGCCCTGCGGAAAGGAGGAATCCCGTAACGG